ACCACTGCCATTTTTCGAGAGTGAAATAGGTCACCGAAACCGAACCACTATATATCTGTGTGTTGACTCCATATTTATTGTTTGTCATTGATTGTCTTATTTATAATTTATTAATTACACATTTTCACATACTCGATTGTTGATCTTGCACGAGACTAATTTGTGCATCATCAAATATAATGAAGGTCTTCATTCTTTAACATGCCAATTTTTTCAAAATACAGTTTTTCAAACTCGACCTATTTCTGTAATAGTGTCTGACAACAAAAAAATTGATCCCCTNGGAGTAGGTCACCGAAACCGAACCACTATATATCTGTGTGTTGACTCCATATTTACTGTTTGTCATTGATTGTCTTATTTATAGTTTATTAATTACACATTTTCACATACTCAATTGTTGATCTTGCACGAGACTAATTTGTGCGTCATCAAATATAATGAAGGTCTTCATTCTTTAACATGCCAATTTTTTCAAAATACAGTTTTTCAAACTCGACCTATTTCTGTAATAGTGTCTGACAACAAAAAAATTGATCCCCTCCTGATTTTCTGTGCCATACAGTAGTCTCTATGCACTAATGGGCATTTGGTTCAATGGTACTCCTTCTCCTGTAAATACTTTGTCTTCTTGAGGTCAATGGTTCAAGTCCCCCTTTGCCTTCCCCTTTGCCTTCCCCTTTAGGGGTGTTTANTAGTACTCCTTCTCCTGTAAATATTTTGTCTTCTTGAGGTCAATGGTTCAAGTCCCCCTTTGCCTTCCCCTTCCCCTTTAGGGGTGTTTAAATTTCTGATTAACAGTAATTTCCTACCCTATCCAACTCTACCATACCCTACTAAACGACTAGCCGCAAAAATCGAGTAGGAATACGGAAGAGTTTTTGGTCTTCCGATTAAATCGGGCAGGAATACGAAATACCCATCAATTTCCGCATTCCTACCTTACCTTGCCTGCAAAAAATATATTTAACATTTTTTATATTTTTTTTAGTAATTANCTGCATTCCTACCTTACCATGCCTGCAAAAAATATATTTAACATTTTTATATTTTTTTTAGTAATTATAAGAGTATTTGTGTGGTATAATTTATATTATAACATTGTTATTATTGTGGATGTTTGAGTTGCCAAAACATGAACTTGTTTTTTATGTAGATTACATAATTTGTGGTGAACTGGTGATCTATTGGAGCAATTATGATTTTAATGTGTTTCATATGATTTAAACTTAAAATTGTTATTGTATTTGTGTAACAATTATGATGGGTTGATGTTCATACTTTTTTGTGTTTTATTGTAATTGTTGTTGTAATTGTTTTAATTTTTAGTATTATTGATTTATTGTGTTGTTAAATTGGTACATGTTATTTAATTGAATTTTTAAAATGATCCAAAAATTAATAACTACAAAAATATTTATCTGACTTCCTATCCGATTAATTGGGTAAAAATACCACACCTGATCGGGTAAGGCAGGTCANATAAAAATATTTATCTGACTTCCTATCCGATTAATTGGGTAGAAATACCACACCTGATCGGGTAAGGCAGGTCAAGAAAAAATTATTCCACAAAATATCGGGTAGGATAGACAGAAGACTATATTTCCTTTCTATAAGGTAGGGTGAACANCCTGATTTTCTGTGCCATACAGTAGTCTCTATGCACTAATGGGCATTTGGTTCAATGGTACTCCTTCTCCTGTAAATACTTTGTCTTCTTGAGGTCAATGGTTCAAGTCCCCCTTTGCCTTCCCCTTTGCCTTCCCCTTTAGGGGTGTTTAAATTTCTGATTGACAGTAATTTCCTACCCTATCCAACTCTACCATACCCTACTAAACGATNTCCCCCTTTGCCTTCCCCTTTGCCTTCCCCTTTAGGGGTGTTTAAATTTCTGATTGACAGTAATTTCCTACCCTATCCAACTCTACCATACCCTACTAAACGATTAGCCGCAAAAATCGAGTAGGAATACGGAAGAGTTTTTGGTCTTCCGATTAAATCGGGCAGGAATACGAAATACCCATCAATTTCCGCATTCCTACCTTACCTTGCCTGCAAAAAATATATTTAACATTTTTTATATTTTTTTTAGTAATTATAAGAGTATTTATGTGGTATAATTTATATTATAACATTGTTATTATTGTGGATGTTTGAGTTGCCAAAACTTGAACTTGTTTTTTATGTAGATTACATAATTTGTGGTGAACTGGTGATCTATTGGAACAATTATGATTTTAATGTGTTTCATATGATTTAAACTTAAAATTGTTATTGTATTTGTGTAACAATTATGATGGGTTGATGTTCATACTTTTTTGTGTTTTATTGTAATTGTTGTTGTAATTGTTTTAATTTTTAGTATTATTGATTTATTGTGTTGTTAAATTGGTACATGTTATTTAATTGAATTTTTAAAATGATCCAAAAATTAATAACTACAAAAATATTTATCCGACTTCCTATCCGATTAATTGGGTAAAAATACCACACCTGATCGGGTAAGGCAGGTCAAGAAAAAATTATTCCGCAAAGTATCGGGTAGGATAGACAGAAGACTATATTTCCTTTCTATAAGGTAGGGTGAACACTCCTATTCCCCTTTCTTTTCCCCCTCCCCTAAAAAAACAAAAAAGTAACAAAAAAGTAAGTCTCTACGTACTACCCCCAACATTGCTTTAAGGGTCATTTGGAAGTCGGTACGCCAAATTAGACATAATTATAAAAAAGTACACTGAACAAAAATATTTTGAAAAAGAGTACACAGTTGAAATACAAAGACGTAAATGTCCATTTTGTAAAATTTTCTTTCCTAAAAATTATAACAAGATATTTATCTTAAGTGCTAAAATTTATGGTTATTTAATTTAAAATTTTTAATACACCTTAATTCATGCGTATCTTTTTTGGAAAGTGTTTTTGTTTTCAAATTAGATTTATGCATTAAACATCTTTTAGTTTTGTGAGAGAACTTTAATATTCCGTTTATTTTAGGATATATCACTTTGTTTTAATTCCAAAATTTGTTAATATCTAAACTTCATAATAGTGTAACAAAAATAGTATAAAAATACACTGTAACAAAGACAATGTAACAATATATTGTAACAAAAAAAGTGTTCAGTGGTTTTGTGCATATGGTAACAAATTCAAAATAGAGATGAATTTTTTTGAATGAAATTATATAAAAATATATGTTTGACAAAATATAATAATACAATATTTTGTGTAAATGTTTTATTACACTACTATGGAGTTCCGATATTAATATAATTTGAAAACAGAATTATTTTCTAAAACAAATACGCTTGAATCAAGGGAGCTCATAAAAATACGGAATATTAAAGTTCTCTCATAAAACTAGGAGATGTCTAATGCACCACTTTTCAAACAAAATACGCATGGAGCAATGGAGGATATAAAGGCTAGAAGAAAATATGATAATTTCAAATAATGTACTTGAAAACAAATAAGTATCAAAATTAAAGATTTTTTTAGTGTGTATTTTTTTTTGTGTATTTTTTTATAATTAACTCTAATTTAGTGGATCCCTTCCAATTTTGCCTTAGGCCTTGAATAGNTGTATTTTTTTATAATTAACTCTAATTTAGTGGATCCCTTCCAATTTTGTCTTAGGCCTTGAATAGGAGTGAGTTTAGGTAAGCATTAGCATTGAATCAGTGGCCCATGGACAGCATGTCGACCTGTTGGATAGGACTATGGTTTTTAACCTTCCTAGGCCCAATGAGGAAGCTCTAAACAGACCCGAATAGATGACCTCTCAAATAGACGTGTCTTGGCCCAAAAGAATTTGAAAAAGAAATAGCTCAAAGCTATAATCAAAAATGAAAAGAGAAAGATGAAAAAAGGCCTACTAAAACTGGTTCTTTAATAGTTATAGCAAGATTCAACACTACCCAACTAGTTTACATAAAATTAGTGGATTTTGGTGATAAATGAGTGGGAACTCGTTAGACTCGACTAATAAATTTGTCATTTTTTGGGTGAAATATTTTAACCCCATTTACTATCTGCCAACCCGTTTAGTAATTGATATATAAATTCCACAAAACAAAAATTGGGCTGGAATTTTTTTTATATATGTTAGATAGTTTGGTTTGTGAATTTGTGGTGGAATAAAAAATTGTTGCATTGTTATTTTTTTTTTCNTTTAGTAATTGATATATAAATTCCACAAAACAAAAATTGGGCTAGAATTTTTTTTATATATGTTAGATAGTTTGGTTTGTGAATTTGTGGTGGAATAAAAAATTGCTGCATTGCTATTTTTTTTTTCCAAAATTATGTTAACTATTCAATCTTGCCATTGGTATTGATAAAGGGTTAAACCAGTGAAGTGGTGGTGAGTTATTCTATATCTATACTATTTTAAAATATCAACAAAAGTTTATTTTACCCTTTGATCATTGTTATAAAGTCAATCATATTCTCTCATTTATTTTTATTTTTTTTNAATTATGTTAACTATTCAATCTTGCCATTGGTATTGATAAAGGGTTAAACCAGTGAAGTGGTGGTGAGTTATTCTATATCTATACTATTTTAAAATATCAACAAAAGTTTATTTTACCCTTGATCATTGTTATAAAGTCAATCATATTCTCTCATTTATTTTTATTTTTTTTCAATTAACTACGTAATTTACTCGTATCCCTTCGTCTTCTTAAATTAATTATGTACATAAAATTAACATTAAATTATATTCATTTGAACTTTAATAATTAATTTTAACCTTTAATCAATCTTAAACTACAATAATCTCAATTTCTTCCTTATGTTCAGTGTCCATGGAATGCATCTATTACCGGTTAGAATTTGGATACAATTTTAGTCCTTTCGGATACCAATGTTTTGACGCTACACCTCTTGCAATAGTTGCTCAATATCCTTTCCAACGGAGAGTTGGATAAAGCCAACCACAGCAATATCAGAATATCTTATCAAGAGGTTTTACAATTTCACGATAGATGACGACGATGAATATTTTAGTGGCCAGCGGTGGAGCAGAAGCGCAGCCCGTTATAGTGAAAAACGAAATGTCTGCTGAAAATTTCCATTTTCCCAAGGATTGTGACCCTCATGTTACCGCTGTGCTGAAAATAATCATTGCGGTCCCTTCTCCATCTCTCTATATGGCGACACCAATCGCTTCCCCTTGTGCTCACAACAAGCTCTTTCTAGTACGACATTACCCTTATTCACTTCCCTATCCGTACATTTTTCCCTAATTTTCACACTAATATCAATTTTATCTTTCGTCATCATTAGTTATGGTAATTGATTTGCTCTAAAGATTTCGTATCTTTCGTATTCTGAAACAAGAGCATAAACAGATAGGGACTATTAATTTTAAGCAAATAAGTATTCTGTTATAAGACATTAGAAGGTATCGATTGTATTGTAACTCATTTATCTTCCATCTCCCATGTTCCATCTTCTACCTACACTACTTATTTTTTTAATCTTTAGCTCATCGTCTTCTCTGTGGCATTGAATCTTATCAGCCCTCCAAAATTTGTGCAGTTATCGAAGTTCGTCCAGATCAAGTGAAGTGTTCCCAGATTTCGAGGAATCAAAATGAAGGTCAAATTTGATTGTCATAAGATGTTAGAACATAACATGGGTAGGTATTTGCTATGCGTTTGTTTGGAAGTCACTTGGAGAATATCCTGTTTATCCTACGCCCAGTGGTTGGAGGTGGAATTTCTATGTCATTATAGGTTGAAACTTTTGCCCTTTGCTTTAGGATTTGGAGTATTATCTGGAAAATGATTTTTGTCCTCTGCTCATGATTTTGTCATTAAACAACTACTTAGTTGTCTCCTTCATCGACAGATTCTTTAAAATCTTCTATACCTTGTTACTGATGCATCTAAGAGTTCTTGCTGCAGCTATTGTTCTCAGAGGACTGCTTCAAACATTCAATATAATGTTCTTCTGTGGCTAAACTGTTGTGATATATAACTGAGAATACATTTTTGTACTCTTACAAGTGCATTAACTGAACTTTCATTATTCGAAGTTCATGCTTAGTTTCACAATCTGCTAATTGTTAGAGTTATGTGGAGTGAAGTTGTCGAATCTTTTGTTTTTCAATTGCTTCTCCTCATGGCATCACTAGATGGGTAAATTTTGTTTTTCAGTCTGCTAATTGTTTCTCCTTTCCTTTTTGCTGCCACAATCTGACCAAAGATCTTGTTTTGCTCATCTTGTTTCAATAGGTGGTAAAATTTTTGGTTGAGGGGGAATATTAATAATGCTCTTCGTGGTCAAGTGGCAATTGAGACCCTTTCTCAGGCAATTTTTAAGTATTTCCTCTCAGATAATTACTCTATTTTTATAATTGAAAGATAGCTTGAACAAATATGCTTGACTTTTTGTTGTATATCAATGTGTTCCTTCACCACAGGGGTTTTCAATATATGATTAATACTTTCATTTATGATTTACTCTACTAATCTCACCAATTCCCTTTGCCGTCCCAAATTTTCCCCAAGTTCTCTATTTTGTCCTATTCAATCATTTTATTTTAATTTGTTCTACTATTTTATTGTTTGGCTATTTTTGCAGCTTTATGCTTTGTTGTTTCTAGGTATTGCGTTTGAAAAATAGGTGGTTATCTATGCTTGAGAGTTGGGACAAGCCATTTGTAGTGAGTGCTTGCGATGCTAATCACTGCCATGTGTTTGATTACTTGATTTTATTTAATTTGGATCTCTTTTGGTAATGTACTGAATTTCTTTATTAGATTTGGCTATGGATTTATCTTTAAGTTCTCTTATGTGGGTTTTTACTTTAAAATATGTGCACTACGAATTTTGAGGGAGGTATAGTTTGACGCATGTAAATATTTTTAATGCATAATGCTACCAACTGACATAGCTTAATCACATGCATGGAACAATAAAGACGTAGATGATGGCAAACTGTTATGGCTTTATCCACGAAATGGCTGAAGCAACCCATGTAAGAAATCTACTTCTTTTTTTTTTTTTTTTGAGATTTATTTTTTTCATCGACATTGCATGCTTGAAGCTCTTGATGCATTCTTGTACCTAATTCCATGGGTCACATGGTCGTGTCGTTCTCTCAAGGAAAATTTTATCCTCTAATTCCATTTTTCATGATTCTATTAAAGCCAGTGAAATCTTGAAACAATATTGAAGTCATATATTATATATATAAAAGTAGGTCAATCCTAAAACAATAAATTTTGCTATTTTCTGGCCACTTACTGATTCATAATACACAAAGGGTTAGGTCGTAGGGGGCTCAAGTTTCTAAGTATATATCTTTGCCTTTTCTTTAAGCTGTTTTACTCAAGTTTTGCAAGAATATCCTTCTCTCTAATGTTGGCCATCCTTTTTTGTGTGTATATAAGTAAGTTCACTATTTAGTTCATTGACTCAAAAATGGAAAAACCATCATATGGATATTTAGTAGGTAAATGAATTCTAAAACTAATATTCAGCATGCTTCAAATTACTATTTATTAACAGGAGTTCAAAGTCAAAAATTTCTATGTGCTTTAAGTCTGATATTTGATTATGCAAATCAAATTCTGATATTTGATTATGCTCGGGGAGAACTCCTCCATTATGCACTCTTTCTACATGTCTGTCTAGGTTTATGATTTGTTTCTCCTACTTGATATAGGAACAGTATGTGGATGTATTTGTTGTAATCAATAATCATTAGGGAACCCCAACAACATCCTACAAATTCTTGCACTTGGCATATGCATTACAAAATACTAAACTATTCTAAAATTGATCTTCACAAATCCTGTGTCAGACAGTTGGGTCTTTGTTCTTAGCTACCTTGGTTCATATTGTAAATTACTCTCGCTATCATCTAAGTTATTTATCTATCCTGAGAATAAGATGAAATCTATAAAAACATTAAGAAAGACGAAATAGTGAATGATGTGTATGCACCAAAAATTCTATTATGATTTTTCTATATTATTGTATATTTAAAACGGTTCATGTGCAACGCACGTGTGCACCACCTAGCAGATTNGATTTTTCTATATTATTGTATATTTAAAACGGTTCATGTGCAACGCACGTGTGCACCACCTAGCAGATTTAAGTGTGTGAATTTGGAAAGACTCTAAATTGATTTGTTTAATTAATGGGTTACACCGGTCGTGTCGTGTGACCCATGTAATAAACAAATCGTGTTTGAGTTTGACATTTGTACCACTTTAAATAAACAATTCGTGTATAATTAAAATGCTTTTCAACACGAATTCGTTAACATTCGACACGAATCTGATTTACTCGACACGATTGTCAGGCCTATTCAATAAATAAGTAATATGACTATAGAATTTCTTATGAGCTGGCTTGGCCCGATGATTAATCACTTTTTCTAGCATATAAATCAAAATTTATCTTTAGATAAGTTACTCGACTCAGATAAAGATTTTTGAATTAATTTTTTAGATTTTTATAAATTAGTACATAGATTGTGAAAAAGAAATTGTTCTGAATTTTGAATGAGACTCCAGTCCAAGGTTAAGATTGAATTTGCACTCAAATTTGGTCAAATTCAAACCCAAATGCAACTAGTTGACAAACTGAACATACGAGGCAAATAGTCTCTAGTTTCTGAAATGGATCCAAGATGAATATGGATGGTTTCCCCTCCTTCAAATACAGCCATGCCCCAATCAAGTCATCCACTGGGCAATGCAGACAAATGTTCATCCTTAGCAGCTCAAGTTGCTGCAATTACATAATAGAAACAAAGCCAGCTCCTACGCTGTCGTACCGTTCGACATAGGGTAAAGTGTAATTTTTGTTAAAATAAAACACCGGTAAATTTAGATTGAATATTTGATGTAATTATACTTTCGCCCTTCCAAAATTGTCAGGAGACCCTAAACAAATTAATATAATTACGGCCCCAATCCAAATCCACCCCAAATAGCGGAATCCTTTTCTCTCTCTCTCTCTCTGTCTCTCACTCTCACACACACACACACACACAAATATCCTGATCCCCCTCCCCCAGACAGCACCTCCTTTCCTGCACTCACCCCATACCGCAGCTCCATGTTGTTATTAAATGACACACAACTGAGGATTGTCGAAGTCTATTACGATATAATTAATCAACACGAATCAATATGAATTAAGCGAGTTTCAGTGAGATTTTAATAAGTTCGGGTTGTAAATGGATTGACCTGTCAAATAAATTTAATAAACGGGTCATGTTCAGATGAGTTATGTCAACCCGTTTATCGCCAATTTAAATAAAATTAATATAATAATAAATTAATAATTATTTTAAAAAAATTAAGTAGATTTTTTTTAGTGACAACCACATAAAATATATATAAATTATTTTTAGTAACAACCATAGAATTTTTTTTCTTTAATTTAATGATAGCCATAAAAAATATAATAATAAACTAATAATAAATTAAAATTAAACGGGTTAAACGAGTCGTGTCGTGTTACACGTTTATTAAACAGTTCGTATTCGTGTTAAAGTTTTTCACCCGTTTATTAAACGTGCTCCATATAGGTTTACATGTTTTTCACCCGTCATCCGTTTAACCCGACACGTTTGACATCCCTACAAATGATCTACCAATTCAGGGGCGAAGCAAAAAATCGTTCATAGGTGGACACATAAATAAATTAATTTTCTTCTACAAATCGCCAAAATATAGATGATATATTTATATTTATTTACATCCTATTTAATACTTGAAAATTCGTTAAACACCAACAATTAAAGATTTGTGCATATAGTGTATGTACGAAAAAAATAACAAAAAAAACTAATTATAACCCTTTACGAAAAATTGGATTAATCATGCCATTGAAAATGTATTTAATCCGATTAATTATCACTTTTAAAGTTGGTATATCATAACTTTATTATTAATACCATTGAAAATACATTTTTCTGTGGACATAACTATTATATGATGACCCTAATATTTATATAGTACCTGTAAGAGGCAAAAAATGAGAATACCCTCTACAGGAACNGAATTGACCTGTCAAATAAATTTAATAAACGGATCATGTTCAGATGAGTTATGTCAACCCGTTTATCGCAAATTTAAATAAAATTAATATAATAATAAATTAATAATTATTTTAAAAAAATTAAGTAGATTTTTTTTAGTGACAACCACAGAAAATATATATAAATTATTTTTAGTAACAACCATAGAATTTTTTTTCTTTAATTTAATGATAGCCATAAAAAATATAATAATAAACTAATAATAAATTAAAATTAAACGGGTTAAACGAGTCGTGTCGTGTTACACGTTTATTAAACAGTTCGTATTCGTGTTAAAGTTTTTCACCCGTTTATTAAACGTGCTCCATATAGGTTTACATGTTTTTCACCCGTCACCCGTTTAACCCGACACGTTTGACATCCCTACAAATGATCTACCAATTCAGGGGCGAAGCAAAAAATCGTTCATAGGTGGACACATAAATAAATTAATTTTCTTCTATAAATCGCCAAAATATAGATGATATATTTATATTTATTTACATCCTATTTAATACTTGAAAATTCGTTAAACACCAACAATTAAAGATTTGTGCATATAGTGTATGTACGAAAAAAATAACAAAAAAA